TTTCTTTGGATTGTTTGATTCAAAATTTTAAAGTTTTATTAATTACACCGTTTATTACATTTATTATTAAATATTTTCGATGATATTTTCTGTTTTATCAAAATGAACATGTAATAAAATCTTTCTATATGAATACATTTTTATTCTGAATAGTCAACGTTTATATCTGGTGTCATGAGCCCTAACAACCTTTGCAATATGTTCTGTCATTTACATGCGCAGAACGAGAAAAAAGTAAGGATGTTATATGTTTTGCGTTATGATAAACAATCATAGGAAACATCGAAAAAGGAAGTAGACTAATAAATATTCCAAAGAACAAAAAAAAAAGAAAAACAATATTAGACAATGACATTACTGTTTTATGTGACATCGAATAATCTGATTAATTAATTATTAGAAAGAGAAAAAAGTTCATCTTATGTAATCGCAATTACATAATTATAGAATCTGAAAAAAAAAGAAACTTTTTAACAGTTTTGATATAGTACTTGCATTATAGAAATTTAACAATAATTAAAAAAAAAAATTTCTAATTTTTTTAGGTGAACTTCAACCAATAAATTATTTCTTTCAAACAATACCAACAACACTTGAGTAAAATAATTTATTAATTTTTTTGTTTTTTATAAAATAATTCATTTATTTTTTTTAGTGCTAATGGTGATTCATATGTTGAATTATTAGGTATGATAAGTAATGATCAAATTAATTATAAACCAGCTTGTTTAACATTGTAAGAATGATTTTTTTTATTAATAAATAAATTTTCTTTTTTTGTTTATAAATTTTCAAGTAAAAATCGTACTGTATATAATTTTGAAATATTAATTAATGTTGATAATCTTTTTCCAAGTTCAACACAAGCTACAGTTGATCTTAATAATGATCTTGTTGCAGGTTAAATAAACAATATTAAAAGATTTAAATTATAATTCTTGCTTTTTTTTTTTTGTTTGTTATAAATAGATTTATTTTTAACAATTAAACATAAAAATACACCAAAATTTCGTGTTTATGAATTACCTATAACAAAAATGACATTAATTACAGAATATGATCCACCACCCAATATTGCTATTTATCATTTATCAACATTTGCTGATATAGGTTAATAATAACATATATTTTTTTCAATAATATTCTCTCTTGTATTAGATGCTGATGGTGAATTAGAACATATTCTACCAGTTTGTATGAATATCGATTGTTCAGATAGTCGAATTTATGTACGAGATAATAATGAAGTAAGTTAAAATTTTATACAAACAAAAATTTTGCTATTTAAAATAAATGATTATTAGTGGTATCAATTACCAATTCAATTCGGAAATGATTTAAGATTTCCTTCGAAAAATGAATTTCCATCACCATTTGATCAAATACCTATTAGTATTAAAATAGCTGATTATAATCTTGATGGTTATCCAGATATGGTAGCTGTTATGAAAGAAAGGTATATATTATAAATTATATCATAGTCAAAAATCAAACAATAATTAATAATATTTTCACACTTGTTTTCAAAAAATTTCGATTCCAGTTCGCATGTTTATCAATGAAATTTCTTTTAATATTAATAAGAAATTTTCAATAAAAATCTCTTGAGATATATTATTTAATGTCACATGATGAATAGATGTTAATTATATTTGTGATAGAATTTTTTTGAATAAAGACAAAAAAAAGAAAATATAAAGTATTTTACATTCGAACTATTAATAGAAATAATCTGTATAGAAAATAAAGTCTTTTTTTTTTTTGTATAAAAAGATTATTCTTTATTTATATAGTATTAAATAAAATGACATGTATTCATAATTCTTAATAAATAAATAAAAAAAAAAAAATTAAATTTTAAATTTTAGTTCAAATGATAGTACTGTTTCAATTATTCTTCAAAATCGTGCATGTAGTACTGATAATAATTTACATTGTACTTATAATCGAACATTTATACCTCAAGCTGATGAAACATCTGTTTTAGCAGCAAGAAATACAACAGTTGCTGTATTTTTTGATGTTTTAGAAGATGTAAATTTATAATTCAAAAAAATTTAAATCTCTTTTTCTAACACATTTTTTCTTTTTTTTTTTTTTAAAGGGTTATCCAGATTTACTTGTCTTATTAGGAAATTCAAAACAAAATTTTAAATTAATTGGTTTTCAAAATTCTCTTGTACAAGATGTACATTTTATTAAAGTGATGGGTAAATTAAAAATTAATAAGAATATCATATAAATTTCAAGATTTTGTTTATTTTAGTTCTTAGTACTTTTTCATGTGATACATGTTCTCATCAAAATAAATTGGTAGATTATAAAGATAAATAATAGGCATATCAATGAATTTTTGTTTTCTTTTTAGCCTTATGGTAATGATCAACCAGGTCAATCAATTAAAATGGAAACAATTACTATTTTAGATGGAATTAAAGATTATTGGATTCAATTATCAGGTAGATTTTTATTTTCAAATCAATTATTTAAAAGCAAAGAATAATTGTAAATGTATTCATTTTGAAACTAAATTTCTATAATATTCTTTCACCTAGTAAATAGATCTAAAATGTCAATAAGTGAATAGGAAGAAGAAGATGCTTTGCTCAAGATTGAGTTCAAACTTTTTGAACCCCCCCTCCCCCTTCAATATTCATTCCTAGGTCAATCTAACCAAAATTATTGAATTAAAAAAATTTTTTCAAGTAATAAAAATCCAATATGATATATCATTTTATAGCTGTTCAAATGTCTCAATCAGGTCAATTAACACTTGAATTACCTTATGTAATAATTGGTCTTGGTGCAACACCAAATTTCGTTGAAAAACTTACTGTTGCCATCCCACCAAATACTCAATCAGTTTGTACTATATATATTTCTCTCAAGTCAACTATTTTTTTTTCTTTATTCTAGAATCAATTAGTTCGAACATATACTCAAATGATTCCGAATTCACAAATAGTTGTTGTACCATCACCATTAATGAATCCAGAAAAGTTAGTACAAAGAAAATGAAGAGAAAAAAAAAAGAACGAACATGTATTTTTTTTTTTTAATTATTTTTAGATGGCATAGTAAACTTTTTTTAACACCTAGTCGAATGATTCTACATACGGGTATTGCATTAAGTGTAACACTTGTTGTATTATCAGGTGTACTTGCTATATTACAATATCGAGAAAAAGTTTGTTTTTTTTGGATAAGTTAAAAAATATTTGAAAATTTTTATTTTTAGATTGAAGATGATCGAGAACGAAAAGTGCAATCACAACGATTTCATTATGATGCTCTATGATTTTTGGTTTTGCATGATTTTTTGAATAATATGTGGTCAAATAGAAGTTTTGTATTTTCTATATTATATATATATATATTTGAGAATTTTATGTTTTGTTTTAATTTTAAAAAAAAATTTTAATAGACGATATGATAATAAATGATTTTTTTTTATTGAATAGATATAAATAATTTAATAACATCAATTATTTTCATTATGGCAAGTAACTTCAAATATGAGCATAATCGTAAGTAAATAGATTATTTGTTTTAAGAGAAATCAATCATCATGATTCAATCTCTTCTCGCAATAGCATAGCCTTGATTTTGTCTATTTTGTTCTAGCGTAGAAATTTTTCAAGGCAGTCTTCTATTACTTCTCGTTTATTTTCATAATGTTTAATTAAAAAAAAAAAACAACAGGTTCTTTTGAACCATGAGACCAAGGTAAAGATGAAAAAGCATCTAAAAAAAATAATGTTACACAGATAAATGTTTCCAATGGCGAAAACTAGACTTCAATAGATATAAACGATCGGAAGTTATTCGAAAAATGAGGGTTACGATTTTTAAAAAAATTCAATAATCTTCGAGCAGTACGTACAGTTTATTGAGAAACTTTAGTGTGAAATCAATGTTGGAAAAAGTAGATCATCAAAAATACTCTCAAGCATTGTTTTATAATTTTCTATTCAAGAACAACAAAAAAACTATAAAAAGATTTATTTATATTTATGATTCTATTTCCGAGATATTGACCAAGTGTTTATTTTATAGTTTTAATATATTCTTGCTATTATTTTTATTACTTTTTTTCAGTGTTCTTCTAAGAATAGTTTGAAATTGTAATTTTTGTAAGAACGAATCATGCTGTTTTATCTTTGATTTTTCAACTGATTGATTATTTTTTTTTCTTTCTTCAATATCAATATATATATATTGATATGATATTTCGAGGTAAGTATGATTTTTTTTTTTTTTGTTTTATATTTATCGTCATTCGAAGGAGAAAAAAAAAATATTAGCAATGATTTATTTGATAAGAAAAAGACACAAAATATAAGACAAAGTTTGAAAACTAAAGTTATTTTTTTAATATATAAATATGAATAGAATTACATAATAAAAATTTTTTTTTTTTGATATTTAAAGATGATAATACAACATGCAATAATAATAATAATGATTATCAATCATCATCAATAAATTCATTAAATTTTGATTCAATGCAAATTACTCAACGTCAATTATCTGATTCTCGTATATTGACAAAATGTTTTATTCTTTTTGAAAATGCATCATTATCATCTACAAATTTGAATAACATTGATTTTCTTGAATATCTTGGTACACGTGCTCGTTATCATCATTCACGTAAATTATATTTACCACAAGTTACTAATAATTTTCAAACATCATCAAATGACACAAATGAAGAATTTTCAAATTGTATAAAACAAGTTTTAGAATCCATATCATATCATGACTTATCATCATATGTTGTTAGTGTTCGAACAGGTGTTTTATATTTTTTTTCAAAACGTTTTCGTTTTAATAATACGTATACAATTGAAGATATTCATAATCTTATTGAAAAGAAAATTTCTACAAATGATAAACGTTACTATTATCCACAAAAAAATTATTCTTATCAATCCGATGAAAATTTACGTTCATCATTTAGTAATGTGAAACCAATCAATCAAACTCGAGAATTTGTTGAAAAACTTAAAGAATATAAATTTTATGTTCAACAACAAAAACATGTTTATCGAATTTATTTACAATCAGAAGATAAACAAACTCATATTTGTACTGTTGATCCAGCATCAAATTATTCAATTGTTGAATTTTCAAAAGATTTTCAAAGAACATCAAATATAGGTAAATTAACATATGAGGAAAAAAAAAGAACCTAGTGAATATAAGTGTTAAGTCGAAGTATTGTCACAGCGACGAAAAATAACCTGTACTAGACTCCTTTTCAATTGAGAAATAATTAATATCAATGTTTGTGTACTTATCGAGATATATAATAGTGCATTGTGTCCTGCTGTAGATATCATGAATGTGTAAGACATACCTATTTGTTCGTTAAAATAAGAATTCGCATAATAATAATGCTAAATTAAGAAAAACAAATATACTCTGTGTTCGAAATGCAGAAATAAATATGACAGGTTATGTCTCTCGTGGTCGATTATTTTTGTTAAACAACTATAGTCTGGAAGGAAATTTTCACTTTATAGGCATTTTGTATTAGTACAATTGAACTCGAGAATACATATGAGTTCTGCATTTTAGTCCTAAAACTTCATTAAACCTTTTCTTTCTTTCATGATATATTTTCAAATTGCTTTATTTCAACCAAAATTTAAAGTTTTACATAGTTTTTATGAACTTTTATGTTTCAGAATAAGAGTTTGATGATAGTTTAAGTCATCTGAATAAAGAATCGTCGAAAGCCGATGTAATACTAGTACTCTTAGAATTCTTGTGTGTATAGAAATAGAACAAAGAAAAAAAAATATTTGTATGGAAATGTTAACAAAACATTTCTCTCAAAAATCACCCACAAGTCAATAGTCTTGTCTGATTTACAAGACCTTTTGCATCAGGAAAAAATTTTCTAATCTGGAAGTCTAATTTTTTGTTCATCAGAAAATAAGACAAAAGTCTTGGATAATCTAGTAGAATTCTAACGCATTATTCCCATGATGAATCTGTTATAGTTTTGTTTTCATAGGAATTGTAAGCATTTAAAGAAAACGAAAAAAAAGATGAAAACAGAATAAAAAGAAAGAGTGTGAAAAATCATAAACGCAAGAATATCGACCTGTTTCATCAAATAGAGTCCATCGAGTGGATTGTTCTAGCATATCATATCTTGACTTTTTTTTTGTCTTCAGCTATACTATGAGAAACTCCTTTTTGTAAAATAACGATAATATATTTTCTTTTTAGACTTTAGTCGAGATCGTAGCTCATCAAAATATAAAAAAGATAAAACATATGATGATATATTTGATTTTCGTATACAATTTCAATATAATCCTTGTACACGTAGTGATCAAATGGATACAATTAATTATGAATTACATCAACAATTTCCATCCCTTAGTGTAAATTTTAAAAATGAAAATATTTTAGAACCATTAAATAATATAAATAATTATGAAGAATTTTATATATGTAAAGAATTATGTCCCTATGTACATTTTATTCGACGTGATTTTGGTGATGTTTATCAACATAATGGTGATGATAAATTATTTGAAAATTTTAATATTTATCTTGAATCATCTGTTGAATATAGTATTAATTATCAACAATCAATATGTAAACGTCATTTAGATACGCATGGAATAGTTTATGCTCGATTAAATCTTAATACAATGATATCTTCAAATTCAATTGATGAAGATTTATTAATATCAAAATTATGGAATATGGGTGAAGGTTTAACATATATAGCTGGTCAATATACAACATCTGAAACTCAACAATCTACAAATTATTATACATCAGATGGAAATACATATACTGCTCAAGATGAAGCAATTGTTCAAACAATACTTCAACAATCAACATTATGTTCAATGCTTGGTTTAAGAAATGATGCAAGGGATAATGAAATTGAACAACGTTTTAATTATATAAAACAACAATTACATGCAAAATGGCATTGTATTCGAGCTGGTTTAAGTGCTCGTGAAAAAATTGACGCATTTTATGAACAGTATTTCAATGAACAGACTTGACATATGTTGAAAATTTGTTTTTTTTTTGTTCGTATTTTTCTTTTCAGATATTTATTAATTATGACTCGCTTTGTAAATAAATAATTCTGTATGAATGATTATACAATGCAGTTTTTTATTTTTTTTATAGATATAATTTCATTATTAGAAAAATGGATAATCAACAATCGACTAAAATGCCAAAACCATTCGATAATGATACGGAATTAAATACATCAACTATGGAAAGTAGTCCACAACAATTTGGTTTACGAGAAGATGATGGATTCAAACAAGAAGACGATTATCGACAAGGTAACTATTCCGAATATTTTTATTTTTCTTACAAGAGAACTTTTCCAATTTGAACATTATTTTTTGAGTTCGAACTTCTTTAAAAAGATTAGTACTAATAGAACTTGCCTACAAAGTTGTAGTCATTTTATTGAAATTTGAGCTCATAGATAGATTTACTTGTAGCTAGAATGTTCTGAAAATTTCAGCTCAAAAGAATGTTTTTGTCATGAGATATTGAGTTTGTGTAGGTTCGCTTGTTAGTAAGTTTCCCATATAAAATTTATGGCTGACGAGGGAACGTTTTCAACTGTTCAATTGCTTTTGAGTTCAAACTCTATGCATAAAGTAGACCCCATTGGTGTATGAAAAACCCTAAAAGGATAAAGACACTTAGACCTTCTATCCAGAATTATAGGCATTTTACTGCAATTTTAGTCTATGACATGGTGTATACCAAAAAATCGATTGGCGATATTTCGAGCTGCGATTTAGCCCACAGATAAGCCTATTGCTGAGCAAAATGACCTGAAAGTTTCAGTTTGAAAAAATGTTTCCTTCCTGAGATATTAGTCTAAAAAAAAACAGAATATTTTAGTATCGTTCATAGGATATGAGTAATTCTTGGGACTTCAATATCTCAGGAAGGAAACATTTTTTTTAGAACTGAAATTTTTAGGACATTTTGCTCAGCAATAGGCCTGTTTGTAAGTTAAATCGCAGCTCGAAATATTACTATTCGATTTTTTTTTGTATAGACCATGCCCTAGACTAAAATTGCAGTAAAATGCTTATAACTCTGGACAGAAGGCCTACGAGTACTTATCATTTTGGAGTTTTTCATACGCCAATGGGGTCTACTTTATGCACAGAGTTTGAACTCAAAAACAATTGAACAGTTGAGCAGGTTCCCTCGTGAGTTTTTCAAACCTATTTAGAATTGCTAAAATACTTTTAACATTTCTTCACACTGGTTAAGATTGTTGAAAAAAAAATTGCCCTATATTTTGATGACATGATCGAATCCGGAACACGCATACACAGTCAAAATAACTTCATAATCTTAACTTATGGCACGAAAACCTTTGTACAAAATATTCATTCTTTTTTTTGACCACTTGAAGACAGTTGGTTGGATTCAGAAATATTTAATTATAAGATTGTAATATCTCATTTTGTGTCGAATTTCATATTCTACATTAATGTTGAGTTCAATTTGTTCCAAGGCACAAATTGTATAAACTAAGGACCATGCCAGAATCGCTATTTTGCTTTGTACAGACACAGTTCTGAACTTTTTCACGCAATTTACTGATAGTTGTTGAATCTTCGTGTAACGAAAAATAAATGATTTCGGTTATAACAAGTGGGGAGGCACATATGCCTTTAGTCTTATAGGCTTGCTGTTTTTTCGGCTGTGCACTACATCCACATGTAACTATCTTACATAGAACACGAGTTTATATACTGGAGAGAGAATAAGAAAGAAGTTATAATCAGAACAAGAGTCCTTTCACTACTAAGTTGACATTACCTAAGAGTGATATTGCAGAAGGATAATAAGTTACAACAGTGACATCTTACAAGGATGATATCATACTATGTTATCAGTGCAATATGCCAACCGGCACAATTATATATTAGAGAGATAATAAGGAAGACGACACGATACAATAATTTACAAGATAGAAGGAAATACAGAAAACATTAAGAAGTAACAATTACCAGAAAGGTCATATCGTATCAACGATATAATTTATAGCCGACATCGACCTTACCAGTAATTAAATAATACACTTGATTTATGTCATCCAAAACAAGGATGTAAGTGTAACGTCATTTGAATGTAATAAGCCACTTGTCATGCTTAACACAAAAGGAAGATTTAACCATAATATTCGATTCTACTTGACTTCTAAAACTAACCAGTTGTCTTTTAGTAATGGAAAATTTATTTTTTATCTTTCAAATAAATATTATTTATTTAATTTTTTTTTAGAATTAATGAAGGTTCAAGATGAAATCGTAACATTACGTCAAGTACTTGGAGCTAAATTAAAACGTGAAAGTGAACTTAAAACATTATTAGGTGTTGGTTTTGTTGATGATCTTAAACAAGATTGGCAAGAAACTGTTCATGATATTAAATCATCAACAGCATATCAAAAAACAGCTGAAACATTACAAGCTGCTTCAAATAAAATAGCTCCAGCTTTACAAACGGTTAATACAACATTTAAAACACGTCTTGGTTCTCTTAGAAGTAATAATTTTATTTATTATTTTCTTATCTTACATCTTTTTATTTTTTCTCTTTCATATTTTCAATTTTAAGATTCAAATTATTTCAAAACATTTGAAAATACACTTGGTTCAACTGTTAGTGCTGTTAAATCAAAAATGACATCATCAAAATCAGCTATGCATTTTAATGGAAACGATACAAATGATATGAGTCATGGTGCAACAGGTGGATCTATTCCTACTAGTGTATCTCATGATGATTATCTTAATTTTAGTGATAATACAAATGAAAAAAAAGATTTAACAAATAAATAAAATAAATAAATAAATAAATAAAACAGCAATATAAAATAAAAATATATCTAAATGTATCTATACATCGATTACAGACAAATTTTAACGATAAAAAAAATTTAAAAAAAAAAGACGTTTTCAATTTATTTATTCTTTTCTTTGTTTGTCTTCTTGGGTTGCAACTAATGTAATTTTGTTTTTCATTTATTTATCAACATACTTAGTTATTCAATCATTTGTCTTGTTTTTCTTTTTTTTCTCGTATATATTATTCTCTATTGATACTGTATCACAGTTTATTACCGTTAAATTTTGTGAAAAAAAAACGCATATACTATAATCCAAAAGTAACATTTCAATAAAGTCATTTTATTCATCTTATTATATCTTGTTTCTTCGGTATTGTTGTATAATTTCATGTCATTTTCATCGTTTTCTTTTTCTGTTGTTGTTGTTGTTGTTGTCGTTACGTATTTCTATTAAGTTCTTTTCTTCCATCCTGAATAAAAAGAAACAAAAAAAATAAAATAAAACAATTCCAAACATAACTTAATATTGATATATGTGAATTATTTAAATGATTATTCTAGATATGGGAGGCTGGAAATTAGAAGTTTTTCGTATGTATAGAGCAAAAAAAAAAAGAAAAACAATATTCGAAGACTAAATATTTTTATTATATCAAGGTATGGCATGTTACGTAACTTTTCCACTTGCGGCTATGTTTTTATTCAGTCGTCCTGAATTATTTAAAGAACGAGTTATTGAAGCTCGAAAACGATATCATCCACCACCAAATCCTGAACGTGTAAATTTTATTAATTAAAATTTTATATCAATATTGAAAAAATATTTATTTAAATATTAGGATGAATTAGTTCAAATATTAAAAGATCGAGCACAACTTCGTCGAGAAGCTGAAGTTCTTGAACAAATGAGTCATTTTCAAACTAAACAAAAAGATTCAAATACAACTTGAATGTTCTCAGTTTTTTTTGTTTTTTTTTTTGATTTTGATTAGTTATAAAATTATTGTTCACGTAGAAAACATATATTGTAGATTTAATATAAATTTCTTTTGAAAATATAATGTATGGATCCTGCAACAACAGCCGTTATTAATTATTTAGGTATATAAGATGTTCTTTTACACTACATATAAAATAAATAGTTAATTTATTAATTAGAACAACGAACTGAAATTGATCGAGTTCATGTAAAAGATAGAGGTACATGTTCATCAGATGCTTTTCTACGTTGGGAAGAAGTAAGAGAATTCCATAGAATAAATACAAAAGTCTAATATGTTTCTTTTTTGTTTTGTATAGAAAAATGAATGTGAATTACCTGATGATCTGAAAAAATTCTATACAATGTCAGATGGACTTGAAATACGATGGTCAATTAAAACAGGAAGTAATAATGAATATATATATATGTAGCAGAAAAAACAAAAAAAAACTTTATTTCGTTGATTTTTTTTTTGCTTTCTGTAGATGTTATACCAACATTTATTGGTAAAATGTATATAAATTCATTAAATGATTTAACGAGAATAATATCATCAGGATCCAAACAAACGACAGTTGATGAATTGAATGATTTTATTGAGAATGGTATATCGGTTTTTTAATATTAAATCATATTATAGATTTGAAATAAATTATAGATACACCTCGATTTAATTCTTGTGCATGGTATATATATGAACTTGATCCTTGCGATGGATATGGCCGTGTTTGTCTTGTCTACAGTCCAGTATGTATTAATAATAAGAAAAAATAATTCGTTGAATTTTGAATAGTATCGTACAATCTAGAGTATTTATGAAGAGTACGAAATTGGTACATATCGAAGAAATTCATATCAAGGTTTCGAGAAGGTTTTAATAAGAATAAGATTCAGATTTCTTCGAAAATTTTGAAACAGTTATGTAAAAGTCGAATGGCAGAATCTATCGGATCTTTTCTTTTAAACTTTCTTCAGTTTTTTCCGATTCTTCTCGGCAAACCACTGTTCTCGGAGAGGGGTATGAGTGAGTGTGGATGTAGGTCTTGATGTTGATGATGAGTTAAAACACTCACATCCACATAAAAATTTCGTTAAAATGATCCGAATTCTTATAAGCTTTCTTAGTCTAATAGTAATCTATTGATAATTCTCCATAAGTTTTAAATAATCTTTTCCCGAAAAATTAAATATATAAAAACAAAGAAGAAATCATATAGCTGATTTTAGCGAGTAGGTAAATAATATGCGCCAGCACATTATGAGTTAAGATCTACGAGATTTCGTGAAATATTGATTTTCTAACTTTTAATACAACAATGTCAAAAGAGAAACTCTTCAGAGAATCTTGTAAATTAAAATGTTGATAAGATAATTATTTAGATATCTTTATATCAAACATCATATAAAAATTCAAGTTACTTTTTTTTGCATACAGCTGAAACACAGAAACACTTATGGCAATGTTGCAAGTAAAATATTTGTTTTTCTAAAATCTGTCTAGTTGAAATCATGATATCACATGGCTTTTTTTTTAACAAATTTTCTATGGTTTATTTCGAAACTTGGCGAACTTACTTTCTAAATCTTATCATATTTAGTAATATAATATTTTGTTTTTAACGTAGAATCGTGATGTGAGCATTTGGTTTATGGATCGTTCATTACATTTTCATCGACTTGCTTTAACATTTACCGATTATTATCGTCTATTTCTTCTTCATTGTGGTTTACCTTATTGGCAATATAAATATACTGATTTTGGTATTCCACCTTACATATTACATTGGTATTATGCAATAGTACCTTCATTATTAATTTCTCATTCAAATGATGATATATCAACATTAAATTTAATTCCATTTAATGCAGAAAAAGTATTTCAACGAAATACAAGTTCTTCATCAAAGTTTGATTTTAATATAAATGTTTAATATTTTCTTTTATTATTAATTTATTTTGTTTTTTTTTTTTTTTAGAAATTCTAAAGCAGCAGTAAATCAACAAAATTCAACAGGACAAACTCAACAAGGATATCCTATCGCTGGTATTCGTAGTGCTACACAAAATCAAAAACGTCCAATTCAACAAACGAAAAGGTTATTATTTATATTTTTTAATATTCGTTATTTTCTATACTTTTATCTATTTATAGTATCAATCGATCATCATCTGTTCCACGTTCAATGAATAATTCATAAATTATTTTTCGTTTTTTTTTTTTTTTGATATATTCCTTTTTTTTTGCACATTGTTTTGTAATAAATATGTTTTTCACTTCTAGATGGATAAAGTAAAGGAACGAACAGGGATATATCATGAACATCAAGAAGGTGCTCTTTGTGCTCAACATGCATTAAATAATCTTCTACAAACTCCATTATTTTCCGCTGATAATTTAGCTGATATTGCTCGGTAAATAAAATAATCAAAATTTATTTTATAAATCAATTTATTCTTTCTAGTGAACTTGATAAAGAAGAAAATAGTGTATTAACACATACATTATATGAATCTGAGAATATGGATGGTTTGTCGAATTTTCAAAAAATTTTTTGTCGATAAAAAAAAAAAGAAATCTTTTTGATTTTTATAGATACCGGTTTTTTCAATATTCAAGTATTACAATTAGCATTAAAAATGTTCGATCTTGAGTTAATATCTTTTGCAAGTCAAGAAGATATTGCTAGACAAGCACGTAATAATCCACAAAGTATTCAAGCTTATATTTGTAACTTAGGTCTACATTGGTTTACTATAAGACGATTTGGTAGACAATATTTTAATTTAAACTCCATATATTATATACCAGAATTAATACCTGATCAAAAATTAACTGTACATTTAAATTTCATACAAGAAAATGGCTATTCAGTATTTATTGTATATGGTTCTTTACCAGACTGCTTAGCTGATCAACAGTTAGCAGCTAATCCAATTAGTTTACAAGAATATAGAATTTTAACTAAAGATTTACAAAAAATGATTATTGATGATAAAACTATAGAGGGGTCTCAGACGGTACGCATACCAAAAGACTTATTTGATGAGTATCAAAAAAATCCAAATGATCCACGAATAATGAAAAAGATATTGGAGTACGCACCGAAACATTTGATTGAAGATCGAATTCCACAGCATGTACACTGTTCAAATCCTCAACGTAATCATTCTCATCGTCTTTTATTAATTTCAAATATGCCAACAAATATCAGTGATGAAGAAGTGATAAAAACTTGCAATTGTCCGAGACACCGTCGTGCTCGAGAATTATTAAATAAAAATTCAGAAAAACCTATAATGAACGATCCACCTTTTAGTAATTCAAAGTTACCACGTCAAGAATCTCGTATAATAACGAAATATATAACAGAATACATAGTTGAAGAACCACAACCTGATAATTCAAATAAATCACAACAACAGCGAATAGGAATAACCCGTCAAACGATTATAACAAATCGATTATCACATAGAAATAATACATTAGTTGATGATCATGGAGCTCAGCGAAGGGCCATTACAAATATAGGAATCGGAAACGAAGAAGATGATATACTTCAAGATATGATTCCTGATTATTTACTTGACCCATCCGTAATGAACAGTAATGGCAATAATTCTTATGATGTGGATCGTACAGAAGAGTTGAATCAACGAATTCTTGAAGTAGCTATTGCTGCTAGTTTACAAAGTAATAATTCCACAACCAAACAAATTGAACAAACTCCAGAATCTATGCCAATAACAACTATGAACGCATCACCAACAGCAGCAATCAATGCAGAAAAAATACCAACAGTCAACTCAGAACAAACCCCAACCATAAATTCATCACCAGTATCAGCAACTAATTCAGAGGAAATACAAACTGTAAATTCAGAACAAACACCGACTATCATTTCGTCACCAACACCAACAATTAATTCAACACCAGCATTAGTAATGAATTCTGAACGAATATCAACGATGACTTCATCAGCAGAGCCAACGACTAATTCAGAACGAATAATTACACGATATGTAGTTGAAAAACCGAATCCTGATAATTCAAATAAATCACAAGAACAGCAAATAGGAGTAACTCGTCGAATGGTTATTATAACACAATCATCACAAAGAAATAATCCATTATTCGATGATCACCGTGTTCAGCGAGGGCCCACAACTGGCATTGAGTTTGATAATGAAGAAAATGGTATATGGGAAGATGTGATACCTGATTCCTTACTTGGCTCATCAATAATGAATATGGATGACAATATGCCTTTTGATGCGGGCCGTATAGAAAAGTGGAATCAACAAAATCTCGAAGCAGCTATTGCTGCCAGTTTAAGAAGTAATAATTCTACAACAACACAAGTTGAAGAACCCCCAGAATCAAATCCATTGACAACTATGAATTCATCACCATTAGTTTCAGCGATAGATTCAGAACAAACTCCAACCATCAATTCATCACCAGCATCAACTACTAATTCAGAACAGACATCAAAAATAAGTTCATCACCAGCACCAACGTTTAGTTCAGAACAAACACTTACACAATACGTAGTTGAAAAACCTAATCCTGATAATTCAAATAAATCACAAGAACAGCAAATAGGAGCAACTCGTCAAATGGTTATTATAACACAATCATCACAAAGAAATAATCCATTATTCGATGATCAGCGTGATCAGCGAACGACTATAACTGGTATTGGGTTTAATAATGAAGAAAATGGTATATGGCAAGATGTGATGCCTGATTCCTTACTTGGCTCATCAATAATGAATATGGATGGTAATATGCCTTTTGATGCGGATCATATAGAAAAGTGGAATCAACAAAATCTCGAAGCAGCTATTGCTGCCAGTTTAAGAACTAATAACTCCACAACACCACAAACTGAAGAAACTTCAGAATTAATTCCGCTGACAACTATGAATTCATTACAACCAAGTCCATCGATGAATTCAGAACAAACACCAACAATAAGTTTAGAACCAATAACAATAAATAACCCGACACCGTCAACAACATCAAATTCATCACCACCCACCAATATTCATTCACCTCTACCAACAGTAACAGATCCCGATGTTATAAAATCATTAAATATTGAAGGCAAGCTATTTGCGACAATATCGTACTACTATAGTCTTTGTAGCAATTGGAGAATTCATTTGTTTTTCGATTTCAAAGGATGTTTTTTTCCATATTTTAGTAACACAATAGTAGATCTCAATATCTGTATCATAGAAGTTGATGTAATGTTAATTGATCATATCATTTTTTTTCCATCGCTTTAGTTTCTAGTCAAATCATATTGTTCGTACTATCCTATGCGTCTTAGGAAACGAACAAAGATAAAACATTATTTGTATATATAGAGTTATCGACTTATGATACAATTAAATAGAAGTTCCGATGTAGTAGTTTTCAAGAAGCATCGAATTGTGTCTTGTAGAGTTGCGATACAGTATGTGTGCAATAAAAAAAAAAAGGAAATTAAACAAAACTTTCAAGAAGACTAAGACATTTTAGAATCGATCGTAAAATATAACTAGTGCAATTTTCGACCTTCTGTTAATGTTGATTGAACAATACAAAAGCAACAAAAAATTTGTAGTATTTTTCATAACATGAAATAAATCTCTTACAAAAATAATGAAAACTATTGAATGAAAGTGTATATATATATGCAGTTAACTTTATTTCTGATCAATAAATATATTTTCGTATATCCTTGGTTTTATCTCATAATCAAAAATTTCTATCAAATCATATACTCACAATAAAACGTTCAGATACAAAACGAATGTTTATCTAACAATTTCCATTAACATACTAAAAAACAAGATGAACAACAGATTATACCTTTATTTTGTATTGGTTTAACATTTTACTATTTTATTTCAAAAAAAAAATACAATCTTCATTATCACAAATTGAAAAAATTTCAAATCTAATACTTTCTAATTATTTCAAGTAGAATTCTATTAATTTTTATTTTTCTATATTTTTAATTTTTTTTTTCTTTTCTAACTTGTAGAAATACGTCGACGTCGTCTTGTAACTAATGGTTTTCGAGAAAAATCAATAATAGCTCAACAATCAAATTTTGATGATTAAATCATATCCATAAATGAACATTGTGATAATTTTATATTTATATATATATTTTCCTTTTTATATTTATGATCTATAAAAGTCTAGAATAACTTTTATTCTATTATATTTTTTAGATCATGTTATCATCTCGTTCTAAACGTTTATATCATAATCGTATTCGTTCATTAATAAGTCGTCAAGCAACTATTCCTATTGAACAATTATCATTATATTCATGTTTATATCATATTCGTCCTTATTGTTCATCATCAACATCAACAATTATTAATGAAATATGTCTTCGACGTTTACTTAAATCAAATTATTTATGTCAATTTCAAGAATCTAATCAAATATCTGAATATAAATTATTACCAAATAAATCAACATTTATTCTTGGTCATTATATGTTAACATTACAATTAAATAATCTTCGTTTATATATAATAGATAAAAATAATTTAATTTTAATTAATGAAGATATATTTACATTTAAAATTGTTTTTATTGGTATATGTACATATAGTGATTTTCAAAATCGAAATTTTTTAAAACATGATGGTTTTATATTAATGACTGCTGATCAACGTTTATTTTTATATGATTTTAAATTAAAATTACGTATGCCATCAAATGGTATTTGTTTTCAATGTGAAATTCCAGTTAAATTTCTTGAAAAATCATTTGAATATCATGAACATAATCATATGATATCAATACATACACGTTATAAACAACGAACACATCTTTTTATTTTATTAAGAATATGGCCACATTGGCTTAGTTATGTTTTTTTAATTGAACCTCATATATTTGGTAATGATCTTAAACAAGCAGCTATAACACATGAATTACTTATTGTACAAAATCAACGAAATAGGTAAAAGAAGTTTAATTAAAAAAAGAAAAGAATAACTAGTTTATAGTATAATTGACAGTAGATTGCATCTTTCTAAATAAGAATGTCGGTTTACTTTGTTATTTTTAATTAAACATGGGCTATTCCACTTCGTTTCATTATTTTCTTCTTTTCTAAATGCTTTTAGTAAATGACATGTTTGTTACCATTCAGACTACATTTTAAACACCTGACAAGAAGAAAAACAAGCGTTATTTCCGTCATGTTCTATTAGAAATATAAACAAAAAAGTTTTTATTCCTCCTAAGTTTTGTATGAATATCAAAACCAAGAATAGATTAAATTAAAGTAATGTACCAATTAATATCGAACGTACTTTATATTGAAATACATGAAATCAAAGAAACAAATATTGTCTTATTGTAAATTTCTGAATGTTATAGTTATTCCTTTTTTTTTGATATTATTATGATGCCTTACAGCATTCATTAACACATATACAACCAAGTCTATTGTAAGACACAAAAAAAAGCTGTCACCGAACTTCTTTAATCATAGAATCATTTGTTTCTTATGATTAAAAAATTTATTCAAAATTAATAATTCTATTCATTCATTTTCTTTTTTCTTTATTTTCTAGTTGTAATTTATATTCACTTCATAATATACTCGATGAATATACAATAAAATCACATTCAATATATGATCATCCTAATGAATTATTACCAATAAATGTTTTAATAACATCTCGTCCAACATGTCTATTTACATTTAATTGTGAACGTCCATTATTTGATTATGCTTTTTGTAGTTCACAACATTTTCTTACACGTATTAATGAAGATTATTTTGTTTTACATATAAATAATAATTTAACACCTATATCAAATGGTCATTTAAAACGATTATGGACTGATAATTTATCTTCACATAGTCAAGTCTATTTTATTGATACTAAAAATAATCATGATTGTATAATTGATATTCGAGAATCTATTGCACATGTTTGGCAATTAATACATGATGAATTAACATCAATTAAACATTTATATACAATTAATGATGGTATAGAAACAATGACAATATCAAATGATCGACATATAACACGTTATGGACGACAAACAAAACCTCAAAATATTTTAGATTATTCATCAACAGTTATTATTGATCATTATTTTGATACATATAATAATTTATTAACATTACTTTTTGAATCTGAAATGTCTGATATGGCTATAATACGTATTATTGAACATCCTATTGGTATTTGTCGTCAAGATATACATTTTAAAAAAAATAATAAACATAATCAATTAAAAATTATGCATGAAAATGATAAATTAATTGTACAAGAACTTAGTTGTCATACCGTTATACTTCGTTTATTTACATTAGAACGTTCAAGATAAACAAAAAAAAAAGAATCTTTTACAATTTAATTATACGGATTGTTGATTAAATTGATTTTTCTTTTTTTTTTTTTTTTTGTATTGAATTATTTTTTTTTTATTGCAATAAATTCTATGTTAAAAAAAGAAATAGTAAATATTCTTTTTTTGTTTTTCCTCTTTAAAACCTTCAATACAATGAGAATGAGAACGACACAGGAAATTTAATTTTTTATATGAGAACATTTGAAGAATAGAAATTTCTTTTATATAAATTTATGATTATAAGAATATTTCAATGTTAAGAAAATTATTCATAAAAAAAAAAAAAATTAGTAATCAAGATTCATTGACGAACTATCATAGATCTAATGATTGTTAAAGAATTATTTGTCATCGTACTCTTTAACATTGTTATTGTTTAATTGAATAAATAAACATCCATATAATTGATTCAATATTTACATTGTTTAATGTCGTACTCAATTTTCTTTAATTCTACAGAATTGAAAATAATATTTTTTTTTTCCGAAGAACAACTTCAAAATACAAATAATATCAACAAATTAATTTTATATTAAACAAAAGTTCGATTTTAAACACTTTTTATAGTCCTATAATAGATCTTTTCCATATATCATTATTGTAATCAAAAATTTTTTTTATTTTATTTTTCGTATTTGTGAAAAAAAAAACAAAATTTCCTAAAATCGATTTATATTTTTTATTTAACTAGACATAGTCTTTAATTATAGGTCTGAAATGTGATGATTTCCGGTAACTCTCTAGTTCCTGATCATTCTATGAATGATCAATTATCTTATTAAAATTTCGTGCTCGACGACCTTTTAGTTTTATATAAATGATATATGTATTTGATTTTTTTTCTTTTTTGTTAAATTATCTACTTTAACATATTTATTTCATTTTTAATCAATCTACATAGGTTAATGTGAATGCATATAAGTGTGTGATCTACTTAAAAGCTGGTTAAAATAGAATGATGAACAGTAAAACACAAAAAAAAAAAAGAAGACAAAGATAATAGTCCTTGTTTAAGAAGTCGAAAGAAGTTTTTGTACAAATTCTATAAAAAATTAAAAAAAAGAAATAATTTAATAAAATAATTATTTTCTTACCTTGATAATCAAGTTTACCATCTTTATTTACATCAGCCTAAATTAAAAAAAAAAAAGATTAATCATAAATAGAAAACAATTAATATTATTAACGAACTTCTCGCATCATATCCTCTAATTCTTCTTGATTTAATTTTTCACCCATATTAAGCATAACCTTGAAGAAAGAAAACTAATATATTCTAAAATATGAAATTATCTATTCAAAAAATTAACCTGTTTTAATTCACTTATTGTTATATATCCAGAATTATCTCGATCAAAAAGTCGAAAAGCTTCTCGTAATTCAGCTTCTTGATCACGTTCATGCCAATGTTTACTCATAAATGCAATAAATTCTTGAAAATCTAAACGTTGATTACCTAAACAAAAACAAAAAAAAAACATACATATATATTTCAAATTATTTTGAATTACCATTTTTATCTACTTCAGCAATTAGATCTGTAATTTCTTTATTTGTTGGATTTAATCCTAATGATCGCATTACTTGTCTAAAAAAAAAATAATCAAAATTATTTATCAAATGAAATTCAATCTACAATATTTCATTTTCTATATTAAATAAACATTAATATTTTATAACTAACTAATCATACTGATTAATTTTAAGAATACTATTGATTCAATAAATATATCATAAATTTTAACATTACACGAACACTCTGACTCTTTGTATTCAGAAAAATGCCATAGTAATGAGTTCAATATAGTTAAGAATCTTCTTCAGGCAGAGATATGTAGTCCTTTTCATCTTTTGTAAAAAGCTTATTATAAAATCATATGTATATAGACGTGGATTTTATATAGATTAACTAATTAGGCGTTGCTTTTTTTGAATGTGTTGAGATTGTAAGAAAAAAACAAAAAAAAACTTATTGAACAATTAATTAATTAAATGTAAGTAAACCATATATTTAAATATTTAGATAATTCAATAGTTATATGATAATTACTTTTAAAATATATATATATAAATTCAAAAACTTGTTGTTGTTGTTTTTTATCAAAATACTAACCCTATTTCATTTGCATCAATACTACCATCTCCATTTTTATCGAATAATTCGAAGACATGTCGAAATTCTTGATAAATAAAAATATTTTTTTTTTTTTATTATATTCTTTTCTTTTGTTTTTTACCTTCAGTTTTTGTAGTTGAAAATGTACTCTAAAGAAAACTCATTATTACTATGAATCTATTCTAATATTTTAAAATGCTTACCATTGCTCACTAATAAGTTCGATGTAATATAGACAATGAGAAGTTGTAGTATGTAAGATTAGATGATAGAAGAGTCAATTCGTCAAGTCTCTCATTTCTCCATGCAAATATTAGTCTGCATAAAGGAAAGCAAAAAAACAGAGCGAGTATAAGTAAGTAAGTAAGTAAGAAAGAAAGAGAAGACAGAGAAAAGGATGGATTAATTAAGCAAAGCAGATAGGTGGATACAACGAATGATGTTTGGAGTCAGATTACGGTTTGCTATTCTTTCAATCTAATGTTTATAATGGCGTAGACAAGAGAAGCAAAAAAAAAAAAGAAAAATAGAAATAAGAATGAGAACTTACATTTTTGCAAAATCGGACATGATTTGAAGCTTGCCGTTCGTTTTTTTGTCTCTCTCTCTCTGT